TATCCGACACCAAACCACCTCCCCCCCACACCAAACCACCTTCCCCCCCTCCCCCCCCCCCCACCCCCCCCACCCAAGAAGAAAACCCTGCTGGATCCCCATCCGCGCGTGGCTGCAACGCGTCACGTCAACAGGCATTGAACAATAATCGAGCGTCGTAATTTGAAACTGAGTGACGCGCCGACTGCCATGACAGCAATCAACACCCTTCAAACTAATCAAAAAAGTCGACTCTTGCAATGGAAACCGCATGCAGAAACGARCCGTCCTCTGTAAACAACCTGCCCACCACCACCGCACAGCAGCACTCAGTACTGGGGCAACGCCGACGATCCAGAAGCACACATGAGGCATTCGCGTGGACGTTGGATATGTGCGGCCCATCGACTTCATGATCGTTCGTTGATCGCTTTAGCAATCTCCATAAGGGCGTTGCACATCAACAGGTTCGCCTGGTCGGCCTTCACGTAGTGTTCCTTCTGCACTTCTAGCTCTCGCTCGAGAATGTCGCATTGCCTAGTCAAAATTGAGCACTGCCTCTTGCTCGCGCTGTCCACTGTCGTTTCCATCAGACTCCCGTGGTCCTTCATGACGTCCGCAATCGTGTCGAAGGTCTGTTGTCTCACATTCTTCCTTTTGCCGCACCCGCCCACACCACTGCTGCTGAAACTTGAATTCCGCGCCGATCCCTGATCGATCCCTGATCGTCATCTTGCCCATCCCCGCATCCATCACTACCGCCTGAATCCTTCCGACCTCCAGGCCGGCCTAGTACTTGAACACCTCCCGCTGCACCCGTGTCCACCAGATTCGTGGGGTGTAAAGTGTGATCGCCCCTGTACATGGCCATCATCTCCGAATACACACGCTCGTCCATCCGAAAATCGAACCCCCACTCCTTTCTCTTCCGCAGCGATAGTGTGAAGAAATCAGGCTTCCCCGATTCTCCCATGAACTTGTGCACAATTTTGAACTGCATGTACAGGTTGTCCCATTTTTTCCCCCAGTCGTCGGCCTTTCTAGTCGTCACCCCCATCTGCACCAACCTGCTCTCGATGTCGGCCCACTTCCATGTCTTCGTCTTCATCCTTCCCATGTTGTGGCCGAGGCCAGCAAGATGCAAATCCTGGTCTCTTTTAGCTCTAACAAGAGCAATCATGTGTTCCACGGTCCAAAAATCCCTGCTTTTCGCTCTGTCGCCTGCCGACGCATCTCCCGCAGTCTTCTTGCCTCTCCGCCCCGCGCGCGGCTCGCTGGACTTGCTCGTCGCCCTAGGCCCTCCCCGTTTCTTCCCCAGCGGACGAATCTCCATCTCCCCGTCGTCGTCGTCGTCATTGTCATTGCCCCCGTCGCCTGCCGAGCAATCTTCACCACCCGCACCGTCGCAATCGCCGGGTGTGTCGTCCGCCCCTACATTGACCTTCGCCACCCCTCTCGTTATGGCGGACGTGGTAGATTGACGCGATTGTCGCCGGTAATCATCCCAAACCTCTCGCCCCACCACCTCCGCAGCGTAGCCGTCAGCGTCATCCCGTCCTTGGTGGACTGCGCCGCCTGCCGTTGTCGATCCACCTGTCCTCGTCCCCGACGCGTGAACACCTGTTGTGCCCACAGCCGCCCGCCCTCGTGGATCGACTCCACGTTCGTCGCCCGACTGACCAGAACCCCGCCCGCGGGTGTCAGGAAGGCCACACGGCCCCACCGAAGGCGCTGTGTGGTTGCCTCCAGAACCCGGGTTCACGAGAAAAGTGTGCGTGACGTCCTGGCCAATCCCAGACCTCAAACCTAAGTTGAGATCTACGAGCCCTCCATCATAACCAACCGGGGTCCGCCCCTCCAGCAAATCAGTGTACGTCGGCGTCGAGGGCTGTCTATACAGCTGGCTCCCCATCCAATCCTGCGTTGAACCGCTGCCCAGAGGAACCGTTGATGATCGGGGCTCGTCGCTGTCGTCATCACTCGGAGGCAATGGAATTTCGTGGGACGGCAGGTGGCTGTACAGCGTCGGGTCGTACGGGTGCCTGCCGCCTTCCGCAGAGTTGCAATGCTGACGTGACGACCCGCCAGCCCCTATGGACATCGTCCTCTTCGTCTGCACCTTCTCCATCTTCCCGGTCGCCTTCGTCGTTCGCCGCCTCTGTTTCCTCCCAGGGACGCGACCGAGGATGCAGATATGAAAGACAACAACGGCAAGCAGCAACAAAGGCAGCCTGCGGCACAGGTCAGCCATGAAGGAGAGGGGATGCACTTGGCTGTCGCGATCGCGGCGACCAGAGACACACGGTTCACGAGGGAAGATGCCAACATACGAAATTGCTGCAGCCACCGGCCGAGGGTGGACGCTTAAAGAAATTCGTGTTTCCGACCGTTGGGCAGCCCGCGGTAACGCCACGACACCTCCACGACCCACCCGAAATCGTTCGATGCCCGGCACGGCACCGCCGTGGGGCCGCCCGACGAACCGACAGGGACGTACCGCCAATCCCCGACAACGGTAAGAAGACGAGGCCGTTCATGGACGTTTTGGACGTTGGCGCCTCACGATGTCCGTCTTCAAAACAGAGGACCAGCACTGGACCACCTCCGACCACCAATTTCCCTTTTCGACTCGCCGCCGACACCCCGATTATCGCGGATCCTCGGACTCCGAGGGACCTCACGAGGTCCCTTGGAGCCGAGGACGATTTGGCTGGAAAATCCTCGGAGCCCGAGGATTTGTCCTCGGAGTGTTTTCACATTTCGGTTTCGAAAATCGGCTCCGAGGACAGGTGGAACGAAGACGAAATCCTTGGAATCACGTCCCCGAGGTGTGTCGAACGACGCCCTTATTCCAATCGTGTTTTTTTTTTTTTTTTTTTTTTTTTTTTTGGAAGAATCATTGGCTCTTATTACAGATGAAAGGAGGCCGGGAATTCCTCACAAACAACCCGGAAAATATGAGACCATGCTGAAAACCGGGTCCAGCATCCCTTCCTTTCACTAGTCTACTATCATCTTCCATAATCTCTTGAAGCTCAAGTAATTCCATAGGGAACAAGGCACCGTCCTACTGGGTGTTAAAGTTCAAAGAAACCCTGTCAGAGCCAACTCGCCAGTGTGGTCCTACGAAACGAAGCACTAGAGGAGGCAATGAGCAATAAACTATAAACAACTAGTCTGGCCTATAAAGAGCTTAAAGAAATTAACGAAATTAACGAAATTAACAAAATTAACAAAATTAACGAATTATTAGCCAACTAGATTACAACAAGATGCATGCAGATCTCAATTTCTACACGTATGAGTCCAATCACTATGCCCGGACGAGCAAACACCCCCAAAGTAACCTTAAACTATCCACAGGCTATTCATGAGACATCTTCCACCTCACTAAACACTAACCCCGAAGAGCCTGAGTTGCCAAGACGGGTTTCCCACCACGCACCCTTGGATCTCAATGGGTATAACGACCTCAATAGGTACACCTCAAGTTTGCTCCCCCTTGTCTCCCCTACCACTATCTGACCAGGAGCGTTCCCACTGTTGCCTCTCACACTCTCACTGTTTCGGCAACACCGCTACTAGTATTACCCAGAATGCCGTCCATGCCCATCCTGTGGTATTTACCCAAACAAGTAGGAAAAGAATAATCTAATGTCCAAATAGTTTTGTAAAACCATGAATTCGCCCACCCTAGTTCCCCGAGAGCCAAACATATAGCACTCTTATTATCCACAGGCTAGTCATGCGACCTCTTCCACCTAACTATGCACAACCCCGAAGAGCCTGAGCTGCCATGACGGGTTTCTCACCACGCACCCTTGGATCTCCATGGGTGTAACGATCTCAATGGGTACACCTCAAGTATGCTCCCCCCTGTCTCCCCTATTGCCGTCTCACAAGGAGCATTCCCACTACCACCTCTTACACTGTCACTGTATTCGGCAGCACTGCTACTAGTAATGCCCAAAAATCGAGCGTGCCACACCTGTGGTATTTACTACAACAATTACTAAAAGCAAAGAAATTAAACCAGCATAGAACCTCAAAAAACTACAACAAGGAACCCACACTGAATAACAGAAGCACAGCCATCACCTAGAGTCCATTCTCCATAAAATCCATACGGGAATACGGGAAACTAAGTACTCGTCTCAAAATTAATTAAAAGGAATCTAACCACTAGACAAGACCAGGAACAAGATCTCAGGAATCCTTTATTCCACTCAGATCAAAACATTTTCCCACCATAGCAATCTCTTCTCTTCAGACTTGAAATAGCACATGTCACTGGAGACGCTGGTACTCCTGCTCTTGGAACTGCCGATGCTCCCACCATTGCAGCGTGTTCTCCCAGTGCAGGCTGCAATACCGCCCGGATTCTTTACAGCGTTTGCCCCAGCCCCCCTCAACGTGTGTATTTAGTTGATAGATATGAATTCAACGTAGTTGATATGACGTATAAGTGAAAGCGAACCACGCGGCCATTAGGTGGTAAGAAAGGAGCCCCCCCTTCAGCTGAAGGCTTATGGGAAGGACAGCTCCTCTGGTATCAATGTCTTCATAGGTATAAACTGGTATAGAGGTCGGATACAGGGCTGCCAGGGTGCCTAGGCGTAAGAGTGGAAAGCACTCCCTACCCACTCAAGGGTTAGGCTACGCCAGGCACTGTCGCCATAGCTCTCACACAGCTATGGTGCCTGGCAGGGTAGGTGCCACGTAGGAATGATGGAAACCCGCAGCTCAAACGCAACACCTACACAGCCGCAACTAACGATGACCGGGCGCCGCCACCGCCACTATCCCCGCCCACTATCCCCGCTGCGTTACCGCACTTTTCGCGCGGCCCCCCTCCCAATCGTTTTTTTTGCCAGTGGGATCTGGCCCTTATCCTGCAACTTGGATTGCCGGAAGCTGTGGCGGGAAAAATTACAAAAAAGAATGTCCAAGTCTAGGCTAAAGTAGAAAGGGAGACCTTATGGGGAAAAAAAAAAAAAAAAAGAAAGAAAGAAAGAAAGGGAGACCTTTTAATAATAACAAATAAAATAAAAATGAAAAAAAAGAGGGAGATCTTGGAGGCTTGGAGATTCTTTTCTTTTGCAATTGATGGAACCCGTTGATACTCTTTCTGACTATGGCGTTAGGCCAATCAGTGTACCTCTTGCAGTCCTTGGGGACCTCCGTTAAAATTGGAAATTGGAACGATACAGAGAAAGAGAAAATTTGCGTGATTTAGGGACGATGGGATTACACGAATAAAAAACCGAGACATGGTGCAATTCCGTCCAATATTGAAAAAAAAAGGAAAAAAAAAAAAAAAAAGAGCGAACAAACAAAAACACAGGGAAGCAGCAAAGCAGAGAGATACAAACCCACCATCCGTTTCCATGTACCGTGCAACTTCCAGTATGAGGGCATATACTCACACGAGAACTTTCCTGCATGAATATGACCGCTTTCCCGACCGGGCAAGGATGCACCGGGCTGAAATGACGGCCACAGAGTAGTCGAAACGCTCCCTAGTGTGGAGCATTCCCTCAGAATGTTCGAGAAGCAAGCAAGAGAAAATTGAGAAATGCACCATTCCAACTCGCGGCCGACTGGGGTATGCAGCAGGTACCGGTACGAAACTCGGAAAGACTCCTGGGAATCCAAGTGTCACTCTCAGATGCCTCAGCCACGCAGGACATACTGCTAACATCCAAGGTCATGAGTAGGATAGCAAGTTGGGAGAAAACATACTCCCTTTCCTTATATGGGAGGGCCCTAGCCCTCTCATCGGCCGCATTCTCTATTCTGTCCTTTCCTTGTACTGTTCACATGCTGGGGGACAGAGCCTACAAAACTATTAGGAGGATAGCAGCGAAGTATCTCTGGAAACCCAAAGCAGAAGAAGAACAGGGATTCCTACCCAAAGTAGCTTGGGATCTTCTTACAGCACAAAAAGATCAAGGGGGCCTCGGAATCTGCGATCCGAGTGTGCAGAATAAGGCTTTACTAGCAAAATGGCCAATCAAAGCTATGACAGACAACCACGATCCCACCTGGAAACGGATTGCTGAATACATCCTCCAAAAGGAATGGGACTTAATAATACCCTCAGATACATGGAGATGTTTGGAAGCGCCGTCAGTTGCCCAGAGAAAACCGAAAAGCAAACTGTGGAGGAGACTTCTTCTTGCATGGAACAAGGTACGCCCGACACTCAGAAAAGCACCAAACACAAAGGCGGAGATCCTAATTCAACCGGTCTTCGAGAACCCTCTGATTCTCAATGAAGACCACTCCCCTTTTCCTGCAGATGGCACCACTGGCAGCTTCGGCAGAAGTCGGATGATTAAGGGGATTATTCAGATCAAAGACCTATGGGACCAACAAAACAACACTTGGGTAGGGGAGGAGAAAATTCGGAAAACCCTACCAAGGCTGCACAACACCTCAAGGAACTTAGCCACACTACTAGATGCAATCCCAGCTGCCTGGAAAACCATTCTGGAAAAACCCATTATAGAGACATTTAACACATGGCTCAGAAAAGATGGGGACGTGAACAATATCTGGAGAGTAATTGGCCCCGATATCCCTTCTGGATACAGGGTCCAAAAATGGGAAATCCTCGAAAATGGTACGGACAGCAAACCTCTCAAGTTTGCCGAGGAAAAGAGGGTGCTTCAAAATCCAGAATGGGAAGAGGCCACGGAATTTAGGGTCTGGTCCCGTTTTGACTCAAAAGGTAAGGAAATCTGTGTACTAGGAAGGAAGGCGGACACTTACGCAGTGGAACCTTTTCTCCAAGGCTGGAATTTTGCACATGGAAAATAAATCCTTTATCCCACTACAGCAATACAGGCCCAAGATCGGGGTCTCAGCCCAAAGAAATGCAGGGAAAAGGAACCCAACGGAAACAACGGTAGTCAGATGGGCAGACAAACACCCAATCTTAATGTCAACTGACAATGTTAACCGCCTATGGAAACAGCTGAAGAAGCTCCCTGAACAACGCATAGCTAGCCTCCTGTGGCTGCAAGCCCTAGATGGAATTCCGTCCGCTGAATGGTTGGCCTCCAAGCAGATGGTGATTTCCAGGGCCTGCGCCAGATGTCGTTGGGCCTGGGAAACAACAAGACACATCTGGGTACAATGTCCCTTCTCGGTCAGAATCTGGCAATGGTGGAGAAAACATTGGATGGCCGTTTGGTCGGAAGCATTCGTATGGTCGGATGAGTGGATTGAGACAGGGGTGAGCCTGTCTATTGACAACTATGCTTCAGGATGGGGCTACGTGGGACAGGTATCGCGAGGATCATCATGAACGCCATATGGCATCCCAGGAACAATGCGGTGTTTAAAGGAGAGCTGCCTGGCAAGGGCCAGATGCAAGCCCAAATTAGGAAACATTTGAGAATTACCATCTTAGTTGATAGA